ATTAATTGTTTTATTTATTTTATGTGTTTTAAGTGATTCGTTGCTTGCTTATTTCATTTAATTAATGGGTTTTAGTAAATTAATTATTTATTAAGTATTTAATTTTTGAACAGGGTAATTACGTAATTCTCATTAACTAGGGTTTTAGATACGTTCTAGTTAGGGTTTTTGGAGCCGTCTCGTAAGCATCTGATGTGTATCTAAACTGGGTTACTTTGTGGGCCGACGAAGTTAGGGCTCTGTGGATTAGGGTTTAAATCTTGCAATTATAAATACCTCAGTATATGTTAAACCTAGGGTTACATATTGTCATAACTTTTACACGGAAAAGTCTACCAAATAGAGAGAGTTACAGAGAGAGTTTTGGTGAGAACAGAGCAGTTTGTGAGAATTTCGACTGGGGTTCCAAGGTTTAACCAAGGAGAAGGAAGGAGCAGAGGTTCTAGGAGGTTAGACAAGTTTCCGTGGATGTCAGAAAAACTGAGACCAACGGCAACAAGGGTTTGTTTGCAAACCTATTCAGGCAAGTTCTATCTTCCTCTTTCCCTTTGAGCCGTGTTCTGTGCACCTAGATATGCTCTAGGGTTTTAAGGAAATTGAAAACTAAATCATTCATGTATGTTATACATCAAATTAATCATATGTATGCTTTGAATTATTTCTGTGATGATTTCTGCAATATCTGTTACAGTGCATGCAAGTTGGTTCAGTTTTATGTCCTTTAAGCACGAGGGTTCTTGTCGTAGTTTTTGTCTCTGTTTTTATTGCAACTACTGTAAACTAAGTATGGAAAGACTACGGGAGTTATGTAAATCTCGTAGGATGGGTGCTATTTCTGTTTTAGATCTCTGTTGCATTTTGCTTCGTTGTAATCCATGCATGAGGTTTCAGTTTTTGCACAAGTTTACTTCTATTAATTGATTTAAATTGCTATAATCAAACCTTGGGGATGCTATCAAGAAGGTGTTAGATCCTTTAGATCAGTTTAAGAAACAAGCAGAGGGGTAGGAATTGATCGGAGAAGGAGCAGATTGACGGAAACGGAGCAAAGACTGAACTGGAGGCTCTCAAGAGGGAGAGAGCCGGCTCTAGAAAGTCAAGAGCCGGCTCCCCTTCAGCAAGAGCCGGCTCCTGGGGGATTGGAGCCGGCTCCAATTTGTTTTTACGTCCAGAAAGTGGTTTTAGGGCTCTGTTTGGTGTTTTGAGCACTGTTTGGGCTTCTGAGTGATTCTAATGAACTGTAGGGACTTAACAGAGGATCTAAGTAGTTAATTTTAAGTGTTATTAAACTTAATGTTGCATGGTTTAAGTCTTTAAGACAAAGGATGAAGCAGTGTAAAAATATACAATGGTGTATGCTACTAACAGAGAAAGGAACTGAATGGCTTGATTAAATTTTAGAAATTTAATGAGACTTCACGGAGGGATTAAATAGTTAATTTTTGGGTGTTATTAAGACCCTAAATTAATTTAAGGTTAATTCTAAATTAACGGATCAAACTGTATAACACTTATGTACAATTGTATACGATTGGTGGATGGATGAAGTTTTAAATGCTTAAACTTATTTTTAGGCATTCGAGCGGGATGTAATATATTTATAAAATGGTCTTAAATATATTATAGGGTCATTGATGTGTTAGATGTAATCTATGCAGGCTCTGGATGTTAGTTGTTGATTTATTAAATCATCCCCTGCAACTATATGGTTAATTGTTTGGATTTAAATTACTGAAACTTTTAAAAATCTTCAGTAATTAATTGGATATTGGTTTTGGATTTTAAATTGCGGTACTATCATTCTTAGTCTGTAATTTACATGGTTTTGGTTTTAAGTTGTTGAAATACTCAATACTATTCTGCAACGATGTGGATGGTTGGTTTTGGACTATAAATTACGTGCTTATTATTTATGCCTTGTAATTTACCTGGAATTATGTATTGGAACATAATTGCTAAAATGCTGTACTATCATTCATAGTCTGTAATTTACATGGTTTTGGTTTTAAGTTGTTGAAATACTAAATACTATTCTGCAACGATGTGGATGGTTGGTTTTGGACTATAAATTACGTGCTTATTATTTATGCCTTGTAATTTACTTGGAATTATGTATTGGAACATAATTGCTGAATTCTTATACTTAATTCGGTCAATTATTTGGAATCATATATTGGATTATAATTGCTGAATTCTTATATTAAATTTGACCAATTATTTGGAATTATGTATTGGATTTTAATTGCTGAATTCTCACATTAAAATTCTGTCAATTATCTGGGTTTGGTTTTGCATTGTAAATTACTTGCTTATCATTTGAATGTTGTAATTTACATGGATATGGAGGATGGTATGCACCGGTATGGGACGGTGGCATACTAGGTATGGTTTAGTTCAAAATGTTAATTCCTACCTTATGGATTTTAATTGGTGAACAGTATGACTGGTTCTATCAATTATATGGACTTTGTGGATTGTATGCACCGGTATGGGACGGTGGCATATTAGGGACAGACTGATTTAAAATACTCAGTCCTACCTATTTTGGAATAAGGGAACGGGTTGTTAAATAAATCCTCCTTATATATATATAAGTCGGTACGGTTGAATACGCCGAATGACTTATTGGATTTCTTGTGAATGGTTAGGAACGGAGTTTAGATATATATGTTTATGGTACCACGAGTTGAGCTTGAGTCTCAAACTTGTTGGTTAGGGTGCGTATATGCAGTGGATGTGTAGCTGGTTATAGTAGGTTGGGTGTACCCTGTTAGGTCTAGGTACTCATGCCCACCTTTGGGTGCGTATTCGCATGTTGGCTTCTATTCAGGTTGAGATCCCTACTGTAGTTCAGTGAAGGTCCCATAGTGTGGATATATATATGTATAGACTAGATAGATATTGTGAGGTATCTATGGTGTATCTGCGTATCGGGTCACTGTATGGATTGCAGTTAGATTAGAACTTGCTTGTGGGCCTGACCCACCCTTTTATTATTTTTTTCAGGTGTTCGTCAGTTCTGGGCTGTAGAGCTTGATCGTGCTGAGCAGATATAGTTATTCACTCTACTGATGGCGTAGGATTTTATTTCATGTTAAGACTTGGGTTTTGTTCCAGTCTTTTGAGTACCATTGGATATTTTAGGGGTCCACTAGATGGATTCCCGAGTTGTATAAATTGGAGAACGATTTCCATTCGTAGTGGATCAGTTGTATCAAAATAGTTTTAATTATCAATGAAATTATTTATTCTGAGGTTTTCAATTATTGGATTATCATTATAGGTTCTTTTCAGCAAAATTTTATTCATTCTTGTTTTCTATATTGTATTCTGTGTTCATTAAATTGCTAATTGTTTTGTTATCCTCGGGTAATCGGGCGTGGGCCTGGCCAACCCGCATCCGGAAATCCGGGGGTATTACATATCGTGTCCAAGATGGTTTACGAGGTCCATAATTTCTCCGGCTCAATCGGTTCTTTGCGGACGAGTCTTGCGATCAGACGTATGGCTTCCTACCCTGCACCACCACCGTACTCGGCAATCTCTTCCTCATAATCGTCTACGGTTACCTAATGTTCCTTGCTGCTACGTACCTCTCCAGTGGAAGTGAGCTGTTGTTGGAGCTCCTTGGACCTGGTCTTAATTTTGATTGGATTTTGCTTCTGTTTGGTGGTGGCGAACAGTGATGGGTAGGGGTAATGGAGGTTGGGTTAGGTGGTGATGGGTGGTGGTAATGGAGGTTGGGGAATGTTTGGTTTTAGTTTTAATTATATTCAGGATTAGGTTATCCCTATTTTATACAATTTGAGGTTTTATTTTATCTTTCTGCTAAACAAACATAATTTTACACAAATTTGGACAAAAGGGTCATTTTACATGGCCGTATTTATAATTATTAATTTATTCAACTGAAGTGAGGGTATTATCGTCATTTTACACCACACAGGGATCTATTTGTACCAAATTGATAATACATGGGGTTTTTTTTACCACACAGGGACTGATATGCACTATATCGATAGTAGAGGGGGTTTTTTTGCACTTTACAGAAAAAATAATAATAATTGGGATGTATATACATATAAATAAAATGGGTATTTCGTGTATTCTCGGTTTGAATCACAAGCTTGCCGCCGTCCTCCATTGTCAACATTCTCCGGCATACACACGAGCTTTGCGCATCGCCGGTCACAGTAGATAATTCCATTCAGTTCATTCTCGCGGGGCAGTTCAAGTGCTCCATGATGAATTGATGATGATGTTGTTGAGGGATGATGATGTTGCGGCAGTGGGGCTATTTTGTAGTGGTGATGATATGTGTGTGTGCGTGTGTATTTACAAACAATATATATATGTGTGTGCGTGTGTATGGGTTAGGGTCTGAAAGAGGGGAAGGAGAAGGAGAAGAAGTGGGTAAGGATTTTGGGTTTTACCCAATAACCCATTTAATATTTATTTGATTCAAGGGTATTTAAGTCAATTGTATTTTTCAATTTTATATCAAAGAGTAATAAAGTCATTTCACCATTGTCAGGGTCTCTTTGTCCATTTTATCAAACGTGAGGAGGTGTGATTATCCAAAAATAGGACAACTTTTATCTACCTGTCCTTATACCAAATCTCAGGGGTGTTGGTGTACTTTATCCTACTTTTAAAGAGTATTAAATTTACATTAATTTTTTTAAAAATGGTGCAAAACAAATTATAAAGGATAAAATTGGAATTTTGATACCATGTCATTAAAAAATACTCTGTATATCTTATTAAAATAATAAAATTTACAAGACTGTTAATCCCTTATTAAGGAAAATTTAGAAATATACGAATATGGAGCGGCAAATATTGTTTGAAAATGAAACCTAACCATGGTTAATGACAGGTCCTTCGTTTCTATGCCGTCCGTTCCCTTCGATTGGTTAATATCTAACCATAGTTAAATGACCTAATCTCTCTCCTCTCTCCATCGCCATCTCTATCTCCATCTATATAACACGAGGGAAGAGTTGAAACCTGAACATATCAGAAATCTGAAGGCGTCTTCATAAACGCCTTGGTTTTGAATATTATTCTCTGTCTGTCTCTCTCTGCAATTGCATTTTGTTTCTCTCTAGAAAGTGAAAATGAGAGAGTGCATTTCGGTCCACATTGGTCAGGCCGGTATTCAGGTCGGGAATGCATGTTGGGAACTTTATTGCCTCGAACATGGAATTCAGGTCATCTCTCTCTCTACATACAGATCTATATATGTATTGCTCAAAATCGTTGTTATTTGTTAGATCTGTCGAAATTTTATTAGAAACATATTGATCTCTTAAAAAAATCATTTTCGTAAATTTTTTTATTGATCTGAGTGGTTGGATCATAGTTGTAGTTGCTCGATTATCATTTTCATAAGATTTTCTCTCTCGCTCTTCATAAATATATGTATTTGTTGCTCGAAATTGTTTTTATTCATCAGATCTGTTGATAATTAGTTAGAAAACACAGATCTCTGTAGAGCATCATTTTCTTTGATTTTTTTCTTTAATTTTTGTGTTGATCCGATTGTCAATTAAGGATCACAAATGGAGTTGCTTGATTATCATTTTTATAGGATTTATCCTCTCCATATACAGATAAATAAATGTATGTATGTATTGCGTAAAATCGTTGTTATTCATCAGATCTGTTGATATCTAATTAGAAAACATATAGATCTCTTAAACTTTGCTTTTCTTAATATGTTTTTTCCCTTTTTTTTATTGATTTGGTCAAATAAGGATCATCTTTGTTGTTACTGGATTATAATTTTCATCAGATAAGGATTCGTTGCCTCTTGTTTGAGGCTTCGCATGATCTGTAATTTTTGATGCATTTGGTGCATACCTGTACGAAGATTACATGTATTTGTGTTTTTGATTTGATTATGACTGTTTCTTATGATTCGAATCTTCAAACTCTGTAGGTTCTAGGGATTATTTGCATCAGTATATGTGAGATTTGTTTTGAAAACTGGTTTAATCTTGCACATGTTTGTTTTAGCCTTGGTTGAGTATTGTATAGTTGTTTTGTTCTGCAAAATCTGAGTAATTTTGGGGGTTTTGTTCAGAAGAATGGTAGTGAGAAACTAATAGTTTTGATTTTTTGGTGAATTCATTACGTTTGATTGGTAAAATTTCTGATCTCATGAGGTAATTATTGGAGTTTTGTTGAAAAATTTTCATGGATCGTCAGATTTAGGTTCTTTGCACTATGAAATTTGCATTTGTTTCAATTTTCCATGTTCTTGGTTATAAAGATAGAAATTCACCCTGATGTCGCTACAGGCGTATGTATTTCATATCAGCATAAATATAGTGTTTATATGTTGGTGATCATATATCTATTATCACATTTATTGACAGTCTATTCCATGTATGTTCTATTTTCATTTATATTTTCAGATTTTTTCCCTAGTTGTTAGGAATATTAAGAATGGAGTTCTGCTTTTTTTTTTTTGACTATTATTGATATCCTTTATACTTTATATTGTATGTTCTAAATACTGTAAACCAATTTAGTTTGGTCTTTCCAAATTTTTGGTATGAACAATTAATTAATACTCGATATCTGCCTTCTGTTTACAGCCTGATGGCCAGATGCCGAGTGACAAGACTGTTGGTGGAGGTGATGATGCCTTCAACACATTTTTTAGTGAAACTGGTGCGGGAAAGCATGTTCCTCGTGCTATCTTTTTGGATCTCGAGCCCACTGTCATTGATGAAGTGAGGACTGGAACTTACCGTCAGCTCTTCCACCCAGAGCAATTGATCAGTGGCAAGGAAGATGCTGCCAACAACTTTGCCCGTGGCCACTACACAAGTAATTATGAATCCACATTGTACTTCGATCATTTCAGTAATTTAAGATGGTACTGATTTTTTTCATTTTATTGCAGTTGGAAAGGAGATTGTTGATCTCTGCTTGGATCGCATTCGAAAGCTTGCCGATAATTGCACTGGCCTTCAAGGGTTTCTAGTTTTCAATGCTGTTGGCGGGGGCACTGGCTCTGGTCTTGGCTCCCTCCTTTTGGAGCGCCTGTCAGTTGATTATGGCAAGAAATCAAAGCTTGGGTTCACTGTCTACCCCTCTCCCCAAGTCTCAACATCTGTTGTTGAGCCTTACAACAGTGTCCTCTCGACTCACTCACTCCTGGAACACACTGATGTGTCTGTGCTTCTGGACAATGAGGCCATTTATGACATCTGCAGGCGCTCTCTTGACATTGAGCGGCCCACGTACACCAACCTGAACCGCCTTGTCTCTCAGGTAACATGTGTTCACATAACTAGTTTGGGAATTAAAAAGCCTTATTTAATTTTGCCATTGCTTAAGATTTTGGGAATAATCGATGAATTATGGTAGAAGATAAATCATAGATGATATGGAATATGAATGTTTATGAGAGAGAGAAATGTGTTTCTTTTCATATTGGATCAATCTTGTGAAAGTTGGGCACTATATTACCATATGGATGTTGGAAAACTTTTTTTCACAATGAGATCATCTATTATGTGGCCTTGTATCTTTGTTTATTTTTTTGAAATTATTGAATTTTGAAGCAATAAAATTGGGATGCATGATAAAAACCTTGTAAGCGATTTGAAAGTCTTGTACAAAATTCGTAGTATTGCGTTGTAGTATAATTACAGTGAGCTTCCTTGGGATAACATTTTTGTGTGGGTTTCAGGTGATTTCCTCCTTGACTGCTTCTCTGAGGTTTGACGGTGCCCTGAATGTGGATGTGACTGAATTCCAGACCAACTTGGTCCCCTATCCCAGGATTCACTTCATGCTTTCCTCTTATGCACCTGTCATCTCTGCCGAGAAAGCATATCACGAGCAACTGTCAGTGGCTGAAATCACCAACAGTGCATTTGAGCCCTCGTCGATGATGGCCAAGTGTGATCCTCGCCATGGCAAGTACATGGCATGCTGCCTAATGTACCGAGGTGATGTTGTACCCAAGGATGTGAATGCAGCTGTTGCCACCATCAAGACCAAGCGCACTATCCAGTTTGTTGACTGGTGCCCCACTGGATTCAAGTGTGGCATCAACTACCAGCCACCCACTGTCGTTCCTGGAGGTGACCTTGCCAAGGTGCAGAGGGCTGTTTGCATGATCTCGAATTCTACCAGCGTGGCAGAGGTTTTCTCCCGCATTGACCACAAATTTGATCTCATGTATGCAAAACGTGCATTCGTGCATTGGTACGTGGGTGAGGGAATGGAGGAAGGAGAGTTCTCTGAAGCCCGGGAGGATCTTGCTGCTCTTGAAAAGGACTATGAGGAGGTTGGTGCTGAATCAGCTGAGGACGAGGATGGCGATGACGGAGATGAATACTGAGTGCTTTGTGTGTACCTCTGCCAGCGAAGTCTTGTGGTCTGATTTCTATGATATCTTTTTTTTGTTTTTGTTTTCGTTTTGTCTACTTTGATGTTTGGTGAACAGTGTGGCTCTATGTTACTTGTTACAAAGTCTCTCCTGTTCTGAATTTCTATGAAAAATATGTATCCATGGTGATTTCTATCAAATATTAATGTTGCTTTGTACCTTCTGCTTTATGCACTCTACTAATAACCACTACTAATAACCATTCTGATTGTGTTGTACTAGTTTTTCATGGCGATTATGGTTTGAACAGAGTTATATATATATTGCGTGAAGGCGCTCTCATTATGGTCAATGATGCTTAGATTAATGGCATCAAATACATTCAGCAAGAACCTTGGTGGATGTTGCAATAATGTGCAATCAAGGAAAGAACAATGCTACAATTGCCAACATTTCCATTGATTTTAACAATGCTTCAAAAGCTTGTGACAGTTAAAACAAAGAATTTGTATGGTGCTCCTCTGTTTAAAAGCAAATTCAACAATTGATTTTCGTAAATATCAGGTGATTATTAACAACAAAATAGTAACATTGGTAAGGTATCAACAACAAAATAGTAACATTGGTAAGGTATCAACAACAAAATAGTAACATTAGTGTGATATAAGCTAGTATTGGATTCAGTTTATATAAATACATGTTTTATTTTATTTTATTTATTTTTTTTTATCAATTTCCTACAATTTAAAATGACAAGAGTGATGAGTGAAGCACGCTCGAGCTGGTTTTTGCATAAATAATGACTTTGTATTCAGTTATTACATTTCTTTATATACACCACAGGATGATTCTTCGTCCAACACACAGAATGCCTCTGGTTCAGACATTGTCGTCTACGACTAAAATCTGTATGACAGTTTAAGGAAGAGAGGGTACAACTAACAACAATGCTTTCTCATTGGAAGCAATAGTAACCCATTATTTTGGGTACAGCTAGCCAGAGCTTCCACAGGTTCAAAACAGGAGGAGAACTCCCTGTGAAGAGTAGAAAGGAACCTAGGATTTTAAAAGCAGCTTCAAGACACAAGTAGAATATGTCTGATATGATCATAGACATAATTTCCACATCTCCATGGTACGTCTTTGACATAAATATGCAACCGGGTAACCATAAATGTTATTTTTGGTACGTATATTCTATTGATTAGTCTAAAACCAGCAGCAGCATGATTCTTAGCAGATGATGTCCCCATTTATCCAAAATAGCAAAACTATACTTGCATCCAATACAGAACAGTTTTCTTTGATGTGTTGCGACAAATTAATAAAATCTAAATCTCATTTATAAAATGTATAATGCCTTCAGGTCCAAATTTATAGCACAATATGAACGTGTTATTTGAGAAAATAATAATAATAATAATGAGACCAAGTTCAAATGTATCTGCTACACTAGAAGGAGATAAGAAAAAGGCAGAATTACACTGTCACTATACGGAATGAAACAATGTTTTCCTTTACTTTTTCAAAGCTCAAATGGATCTTTATCTACCATGTTGAAGAGAATGATGCTCCTAAGCAATGGCTTTCACCTGGATTGATTGGAAGACATTTGAGTTTGCACAACTTGAAATGACATCTGAGACCACCAAAACAACATCTCCGTCTTTCACCATCTCCTTGGTTTTCATAAGATCAATGGTCTTCGAGATGTTAGCTTCCATATCATCTAATAAATTAATAAGGAGGGGGGTGACTCCCCACTGCAAATTTAGAGCCATTCGGGTAGTGTTGTCATTTGTGAAGGCAAATACTGGAGGGTTTGGACGGTTGCGCGAGAGTAAAGATGCCATTTGTCCATAATTTGTGTACACAAAGATTGCATCCACACCAAGGTTGTTTGCTGCAGACACAGCAAACAGTTGGTAAACATAAATATACACAATTAAACATATCTTTCTTTGGAGAGAGAGATAGAGAGAGCTCTTAAAATGGTATTTGGCACATAGAGATATGTCTTCTAGTGACGAAGTGAACCAAAACTAGTTATCTGATGTAATAATTGGCAACTTTTGCTATTCCCACACAATTTCTAACAAATCAAGCATCAATGTTGTACACTTGTATAGCTAATCTAACAACTCTGAAAAAAAATTTATCCAGTTTCTACACAAGCCTACTTTTGCACGTGACAATCGACTGAAGGATTCATTAATATACTATAGTTTTTAAATTTTCTTGACCTGCAAATTTTGATACTAAATTGACAGGCCAAGAGTAATAAAATTACTTTTTAGTTCATTAGCATTGTTTTGCATGATAGGCTAACCAAATTCTTGAGAAGGTAACCATCGAAATATACAGTTCATAAAACAAGGAAGGCAATTGTTTTATTTTGGCACGGTTTAGTTAATGAAGGAAAGCCGAGAAAAAGTGAAATACCCATTTCCACTGCACAATTACAGATCTGCTCAGCAATTCGGTCTGGCAGAGATACTCCAGGTTGACGCTGCTTGTAAACACCATTTTGATTCTCCTCACGACTCCAAAGTTCCATTCGACAGCTGGCCATTCGCAAAACAGAAAGAGCCTTCTGTCCATATGATCCAATGGCTGATTCACCAGATAACATCAAGGCATCCGCATTCTGTCGAACTGCTTCAGAAACATCTGCAACCTTGTCACATCGAAGAATATTGTCAAGGAGGAGAAAAGGGCTCATTATGTAGATAAGAAAATTGTGTCTTTTGAAAACAAGGAGAATCAACACCTAATATAACCACGAAATACAATAAAGAAGTTTTCGCTCCCCGCCACATCAAAAATAAATATTATGCAGTTATAGAACTCAGAAAAAATTCTCTAAAATGGTGCCAAGTTTATTCTGAATTGAACCTCAACAAGTAAAGAGAGGTCTTTTTCTCTTCCTTTTTTTTTTCTTAGTTAACAAGTTTATAATTGTTAGAATTTAATGGATTGTAATACCTCAGCACGTGTTGGTATAGGGTATTCAACCATTGACTCCAGAAGTTGAGAAGCTACAATCACCGGCTTATTGAGCTGCCTGCAAACATGGATAATTTTCTCTTGCACTGTTGGTATCTGCTCAATTGGGATTTCAACTCCAAGATCACCTCGTGCCACCATTATTCCATCAGAAGCCTCTACAATTTCTTCCAGTTTCTGGAAAGACTCCAAGCTCTCAATCTTTGCCAAAACTTTTATGGATCTGTGAAATGAAAGATTTCAACTCTCAGTTTTGTATTCCAGAAAATACTCTGAAATGTGTATATCTATCTGGCAAAGAAACTAACAATAAATATATCTTACAATATGATTAATTAACACGCAGATTTAAAGTTTTTTCTAGTTGCAAAATGATGAGAAATATATGCATCTGGAAACTTCAGCACAACCAAAAAGAAAGTGAGGAAATTCACCATCTATATGATATATTCAGTCAGTACGGAAATATCGCAGTATATAATTACTAAGAGACTCAAAGCAACCAATATTGCCTTAAACAGTTCTTTTTCTTTTTCGAGAAGGATATTGCCTTAAACAGTTTGATAAAGAAAATATAAATAAATATCTATTTGTTATTAAACAAAATAAGGAGTCTTAGATAATTTTGAATGGAGATAAAAGAATTGACGAGGTTCCAGAACCATTAAATTTAAAATCTGAAGCTAAGTGCAAATGCAAAGTAAAAGAATATCTCTATTATGTAACAAGCACGCGCAGAACAAAACTAATTGTGAAATTTCAACAGTTTTACACATATGGCAAATTATATACTACGTATCTTTCAATCTCAAGGCCAAGAATAATAAATGAAGATTGTGCATGGAAGTGCTCATTAGTTAAAATGATTGCAAGGCTTTGCTCACATAGGGAAAAGTGAATCTGAAAATTATTTCTGTAGTATCATGTTCATAGTGTAAAAATTTGGCATTAGTTAGTACAAATTTAATATTCTTCCCAATTAAAGTTATTTGGAACTTTCAAGATTATTTGGAAAACTGGAAGGCTATATGCCCATTTGTCTCATATTATTACAATGTCAATAATAAAAATAACAACATAACAATTACAGCAACTATACACATTTCACCTTTCAAAAAAAAAAAAAAACTATACACATTTCATTCAACAGCATGGATACACTCCTAAAAACTCTAGCTCATTTTGCATCAAAGCTAAGGGAGTCAAGTCACAAAGATTAATTCTTTAGGAATTGTAATCTAAAATAAAGGGAAATCTTTTAAGGACAAGTAAGCTGTAGCTGCAGTATTTCATCGATAATTAGAGCTGCAATCAGATCATCAAAGGGGGAACTCTTTACAAAGACAATGCCAGTACGATGATCAGAAAGGAAGAAAAGAGGAAGAGGGCAATTATTAGCATAACTTATATGGCATCCTGTCTAGAAAGAGTCTGATCCAAACTCTTCAGAATGATATTCAAAACAAGAATACAAATTACTAATTCAGGGAAAAAATAGTATGAAAAAAAAGAAGAGAAAAGAATACAAATTACTAAGAGGAATGACTAAAAGTTAATTACTTTAACATCTTTGGATAATAAATCACAATTTATTGAAAAGGAAATAAGAAGGAAGAAAGAGGATAGGGACGGAGAGTTCTCCTTCATTGATACTTATCTTTGTCAAGGTGGATGGAAAATTTCATCTTAAAACAGTTTAGTGAATTGGCAGATTAGTTCAAATACAAAAGCAGATTTAACCTGTCAGCAACAGATTCTATTGCTAATAAATGAGAAACGATGCAAACATGAGAATTAGCAACTGATGGAAGGAGAATCAAGATAGCTTGCCACGTGGCAGATGGCAGAGAGAGAGAGAGAGGTGACATGTCTAATGATGTAACGATACTAGGTGAGAGAAGTGAAACACTACAATTTGCCTCATTAGAATGTTACTTTTCAGTTCCAGACAATCATAAATAAGACAATTGAAAGTCGAAATGGTTTACAGAGAGCCCTCCTCTATTGAACTGGACTGATGGACCTAAGGCTTTTTTGTTCAGCATTTATAAGCATATAACTTGGTCTAAAGTGAAACTTTGTGCAAATATTTCACAAGAAATTATTGCTCAAGTAATACACAGAATTCACAGTTCAGGAACTTGTACTTCAATGCTTTAGTGGAGAGGTAATCCTTCAAATGCTTGACCGCACCAGCATCGTTTACAAATGACATGGCAATCAAATCAACACCTTCAGAAATTCCAAACTTGATGTCGGACCAATCCTGTTGATCATACCATACGATTTAAAAAATGAGCAGGGAATACAATTGTAAAATAACAGTTTCTAATATATCATTAAAGACATAATTAATTACAAAACCCCACCATGTAATTATCAATCAAATATCTAGAGATTGAGAGAGAATATTCAAGAGCAGAATTCATTATTTCCAAAAAACATATTCAAACCCCAAGGAACAGATGAGGGCACAGTAGGTGCAAAATAAGATTTAGGAAAGCCAAAGTATGAAATTTACTTTTGTTGATAGAGTTGGGAGCTCAAAACTTCTTCCAACAAGCTTCCCATCTCTCCAGAAGCTCAATTTGGCGCGAGGCAGTAGTAGACCAGGGTCTGTGCACTTACAGCGCAAATCATTCCCAATCTTTTCTATGACTTCAAAGCTTGCCATTCCTCCGTCAATAACAAGCTCATCGCCCAATTTGACACCTGAGAGAGAGAGAAAGAGAAGGAGTCTTTGTCATCACAATATACCAATTTAACTGAACTTGCATTAGTTCAAATATACTACCTTCGGAGAAACCTTCATAGTTTGCTTGAACTGTGAATGGACGAGATCCCTCGAACTTTTCAGTTGTGAAAAACCAGATTGAGCCATCCTATTGTTCCAAGATGAATAAATTACTAAAAAAATTGCAAATATTTTCAAGAATAGTTACTGTGAACATTTAGAACAGCCTAATTATTATTTTCCTAACTAGTATCTACTTTTTAATTGTTCTAACACATAAAACTAAACCAATTAGGTTGAGTGTTGGTGTTTTACCTCTGCTTTGACAGAGGAAGGAGCCCCATGATCAACCACATGTATCTGACTGCCTTCGGTGTCGATCATCACAGAAACACAAAACCCCTTTTCCTCATTCAACCTCTTGATCTTCCTAATCACATCCCGGTGCCACTCCCTCGTGTTGTGACACATATTAAGCCTGGCCACATTCATTCCTCCCATTGCCATCTTCTCCAAGTCCTCCAACGAACAACAAGCCGGTCCAATCGTGCAAACGAGCTTCGTCTTCCTCAAACCTAAAAACCCCTTCTCTCTCAACTCTCCCACTGATACCACATCAAACCCCAATGACCCATTAACGCTCTTCAAAACACCTGAACTCTCCAAACCGTCCACGCCCACTTCCACAGCGGACCGGACTCCAATCCGAGCCTTATTTACCTTCAATTTCCCCAAATTGAAACAAACCCTTTTAGGAGGACAAACTGAAACACCAAATAGCCCTTTCTTTAAAGGCAAACTAGGGTTCTTAGCAACAACCTTGCAACTCATAGTAGCAGAATCAACCGCGAAAGCCATGGATGTCGAGGTCAGAGTTGATGATCACAGATTCAGAATTGAAGGGTTTGAGGTGTTTGTGATTGGGAAGTCCGCTGATGCTTTTGTATTTTGTTAGGTGGGAGTGTCGGGGTTTACGAGGACAGAGAAGAGAACTAGGGTTTGAGAGGAGAGAGAGAGAGAATATTACAGGGAGGAAAGTAGGAAAAGAATAGTACAGGAAAAAAAAAGAGGTAGCCCTAATTGGGTGTTGAAAATTCTTGTTGTACGTTGCCATTAAATTAATTTGAAATAAAGTTGAGCTGAAAAAGGCGGCACACAAGCTGTCACAATTAACGGTCAACTACCCTCCAAAGGTGTCATTTTCACTAACGTGAGCCGCGGGGGTTTGATATATAACACATGTACCATTCAAATCAAAAGTACAGTTTAAATGTTGAAGGACTTACCTCTTGTATCTTTTGCCAATGCCGTTATATCCCTATTCAAGCAGGCTCAATATAATTTGAGGTTTTAGGTGAAAAATAAAAAAGTAGCCTTTTAATATCTAATATATATATAATCAATCCAATTAATCTTTCTTGTCACATAATTGATCTTAGAATTATGCAACTTATATTTATAAGCTCTGTTTGGTTAGATGGAAATAAGTTAGAAAATAAAAGAAATAAAAAGTGAAAGAAAAGTGTAGTGAATGAACAGAAAAGAGATTTTCTAGCATGCATTTGGTTAGCAGGAAATTTATCCAACAAAATTGTAGAAAAATATTAGTTTGTTAGTTTGGATAGCATGAAAGTAAAAGGAAAGTGATTATGAATACCAAAACTACCCTTGTAAAGTAAAATGATGGATTATTACATTCAAATATATAATTGTTTATATGCATTTTTATTATTTATATTTAGAAAAATGTTTCATAATATTTGCTGAGGTAAAATTAATTATTAGTTTAAGTTAAACAAATTAAAAATAAAAAATAAAATAGAGATGAAGAGGCAATAGTACTGTTTGAAAGAAAAATAAAATATTTCACCATATAAATAAAAAAGAAATATATATATATATATATATATATATATATATATATATATATATATATCCATACGGGATTATGAGTGGCTAGAATTGTAATATAGAATAGAGGATTAAAAAAAAAAAAAAAAATTCTATTTAGAAGCATGATTTATTTTGTGCAATTTTAACCTAATTATCATTGATATTCTGTATATATAATTGTATAATTTGCCTTGCAAACTTACCTCACAATAGAAGTTGTTTTCGAGTAAAATAGGAATTGCAAATAAATAAGCGTTTTTTTCACGTGAAAATAAACTCAATGCGGGAAACTAAAATTTCCATTTAGGTTTCTCTATCCAAGCTCTAAAAAAAATTAAATATGGAAAGCGTTACAAATTCCGGAGGAAAAAAAAAATGTGAATGAGGAGCTGAGAGAGAGAAAAAAGAGCTAAGATACAGATAGAAACCTTTTAGCCCCTATTAAATCTCTATTGTTTAGGGTCTAATAGATACAAATAAAAATTTTAAGGAAGTTATAATATAAGGAAATAAAAAAAATATATATTTGGGGCCTTTCTATTGGGCAGAGTTTAATAATAAAAAAGAAATAACATTTTTAGGAAGGTTATAATATAAACAAATAAAAAAATTTAAAAGTTATAATATAAGAAATACAAATTTCGGAACTTTTATATAGGTTGGAGTGATAATAGGAAGGAAATAAAAATTTAGGAATAAAATAATAAAATAAATAAATAAATAAATTGAGGTCTTCCTATTGATTTTGATTGGAACCTTAGGCAACCGCCTAAATCGCCTAAGGGTTCAACCGCCCCTTTGTTCAAGGACCGACCTTGTTCTCCAGGTAAAAAATAAATATCTTTCCACATAGCCATGTTATTCATACAAAAAAAAAATTAGAACCCTTTTACTTCTACTTGAGAAGCAAGTAAACGTTGTCGTAATAATGTATTTTTTTTAAACATTTATTGTTAGAAAAAACTGTAATTTTGTAATTTCAATATTTCTGTAATGACTCGAACCCGTAGATTCGAACCGTTAGCCGGATCCTTAACCGAACTCGAGGTCAACTAGAGACAACACCATTCTTTCCTACGTCAATACATATTATACATGTCATTCTGGATTTATAAAAAAATAAGTAATAATAAATAAATAATAATAAAATGTGATTATAGCTACAAAGTATGTCAAAACGGTCTACTAACCCATCAAATCCTGTGAAGGAGCGTCGTCCACCACTTGCCATCCGTGTCCTGAAAAATGTTAAATGTAATGGGGTGAGCAAATTGCTCAGTAGGTAGCGTCTAAGACCCACCTCTTGTAGCCCCATGAATCCAAACAATGAATAGGACAATAGAGAACGGGGTCATACAAAGCCGGAAAAAAAAATACAATATACATTTTCAAGTCCAAAACAAAAGAATGTCATGCCATGAATGTAATGTCATGCATGTCACTCCCCATTTTCCAAAACCATTCCCATCATCATTTCCAAACCGTTAGTGAACCCGTCCCATGGCAACTCCATGGCGGCACGAGAAGAGGATTGGCCACTGTCCCTGACCCATGGTAACTCTATGGCGTCATTTGGGGCCCAGGTAACTCAACTACACTAGGGCGATCTCTCTAATCCCCTCTAGGCCTCACTAACGCCGCGGTCCCTAGGCAACTCCTAGGCGGCCGGGTTTTCTCAAAACCGTTTCATCAAATTCTCCCCAAAAATCCCTTTTTTCATTCTTATCAAATCTTTGTACCCTTTTTCATGCCCATGCTATGAATGCATATCACCTGTCTTTTTAATACTATGGAAATGGAGAGAATTATTATCACACAATTAACATACTGTCACATAAAATTTCCAATAAATTATTAACCATCATAGGCATGGAAAAATTAACATATTAAGCATACTCCACAATAATTCTTAGAAAATTCCATAAGCTTCCATGTATCATTTTTAGCAATTTTGTCAACACAATAACATAAAGAAATTAATAATGAAGCATGACAAGTAATTCTAAGGAAATTTCCCTAAGCTTCCATATATCATTTCTAGCCAATTCAACATAATAAACATGGAAAATTAACATTTAAACATGCTTTCTGTAACACCCCCACATTTTCCACGCATAAGTTGATCAGGCTTATACACGAAAAACGAGGGATATCAAAAACAATTGGCAATATACAAGCATGGAATACAAAATGATGATAATAAAAGATTTTAGACAAGAAAGGAACACTAAATAATACCACATCCATCCATCCTTTATTTAATACCGTACTTCATTACAACTTGGAAATCCTATGTCAAGGATCCCTAAATATAACCCTGAGAGTTCAACGTCAAAAGTAAATAAAACTGAAACTGAAGTAATACATAAAACTTCTACCCTGAACTGGATCGTAAGAGTAGATGAGTTCGGATGGTGGTCCCACACTGCTAACCTCAACCTTGGAACGGGTACTGACCGTATCCTGAAATAACAACAATGGTAGGTCAACTCCACGAGCAAGTCCTCTCTACTATGACCCAAATCAGAGAATCAAATAAATTAATCATTTATATCCGGATGAGTACTATATCTGTATACATCCTAAGGGAACCATCCAATGTATAACATGACCTCAACCAGAATAGACGGTGATCACTTAGACTCACACTAGGTGGTTAAGTGTCGCCTTTCCCTACCCGGGAAATCAGCTATTATACATGGTGCACGATACTGACAACACAGACTATAACGAACTACACAGTGATAACACCTCTTAAAGTACTGATGAATATACTGAGCATATAAGTTAGGCAACACATGCCAATAATATTACTAAACATACTGAGCATGTCAATTAGGCAACACATGCCAATAATATTAAACCACATACCCCGACAGCCACACATCTGTCTATAGCAACGAATGCATAAGGTATAAATGAGTCTAAACTTATTAGCCAGCTCATATGGTTCTATATGGCAACACATCCATATAATATAAATGCGACATAATTAAACAGTCCATTTATTTCCTGAAATGCGCACAGCATAATAATCATGGTTTATATATCAATTAACAGTATAAACATCCCATAAGATATCATGGATAATTTATCTGACTAAAACCATGGCCTTATTTAATTTAACAGTAATGTTTGATACCATTTAATACGATAATAACACTATTTATATTTAACAATGTCGTTAAATAAATCACATTAGTATCCGTACTGTGAACGAGCCAATAAATGCTTAGAAAAGATTAATCGGTCATAAGAATAAGTAACGGGTGTTAAAATAATAATTTCGTGGCCCGTTAAACCCGTAAATACCAACACAGCACTTAAAAATCCAAGTTTAAGGTTCTGGAATTTACAAAACAGGCCCTAGGGGTATTCTGGTAATTTCCAGCAGCCGTAGAGACCCCACACGCGCCCTCACGCGCCTCCTAGAGCTTCCCACACGCGCCGCCACTTTTCTCACACGCGCACGCACTTACACGCGCCTTCACGCGCGTCTAGAACCTCCCACGCGCACGCACGCGCTGCCACGCGCGCACTAATGCATCCTGATGACGCGGCGTGTGCTGGTTGGTCGGTTGTACCGTTTCTATGTGGGCGCGCTACACTGGATTGATCCACCTACCTTCCCTCCATCCAACGCTCACGGATCCGGGTGTACCGCGGTAACATGGACCGCGATGCACCGGATCAATCAGACTCTACTAATGGCCAGGATGCACGCGCGCACTAACCTACCATGCGCCGCATCACACCGGATCACTCCGTTCATCTTCTCCACTGCCGGTGGCCGGAAACCTCGCCGGAGGCTCGCCGGAAATTGCAGAAAATGCCCGAAAAATTCCTAAAAATTCAAAAAAAAAATCCCTAACGCCTTAAGGAAATATTTTAGCTATTTTTAACTTCATAGGATAATAACTAATTATCTACCATCCTAAATAATTAAAAATTCATTAATTGAATAAACTAAAAAAAATCATTTATTAAAATGTAAGCATGCTCTCAATGCTCCATCATAATCTAAATAATTTAAACAATTAATTTATGGATTCAAAGGGGAAAAATAGATAATAACTTGCCTTTTTGGATTTAAAATAAATCCGCCGGTTGCGCGTAGTCGGGTAAATTCTCTACACCGGTCCAAGCTCCTTTCTTTCTTTCTCTTTCTTTCCATACTCTTACAATGGCTCACTAGAATTTATAAT